TGTTGGTTTTAATGACTCTAAGTTATTTGTTTTATTTTATTTGTTATCTTTATTTTATTTCACATTTTTAACGTGTGGGGTTTTTATGTTTTTGTATGTCCTAGTGTACAGCACTTTGGCCAACAGTGTTGTTTTAAAGTGCTCTATAAATAAAGTTGTATTGTATTGTATTGTATATATATATATATATATTGTAAGCGCAATCATCCAGGTAGATACAAACTATAAAGGTTAAATCATGTCATCTGGACAAGTTTCTTTTAGGGAGAAACGTTTCGTCTTTCATCCAAAAGACTTCATCAGTCTGCAGCCTGCCAACCCAAATCTGTCCTGTAAATAGCCCTCATCGATGTGCTTTAAGCCAGCCTCCCGGTTGAATTCCCAGATACTGGCTTTAACACATGCAAAAAGGGACCATCCGTCCAAAACAATCAATCATCGTGCATATAACAATCAACTGCTTTAGACCAGGTGGCCAACTTGCTTCTGCACAGAAACAGCCTGAGGACAACCAAAATGGTCAGAAAAAAGTTTGTAAGCTCAATTGTCCAGGTAGATAAAAACAAAATGGCCCCTTTTTGCATGTGTTAAAGCTAGTATCAGGGAATTCAGCGAGAGGCTGGCTTAATGCACATCGATGAGAGCCATTTACAGGACATATTTGGGTTGATAGGATGCAGGCTTTTGGATCAAAGATGAAACGTTTCTTCCTGAAAGAAACTTGTCCAGATGACATGATTTAACCTTTTTTTTTTACATCAGTAATAATAATAATAACGCTATTAAAAATAATATTCTTGCCAATCAAAATAGAATCTGAATACATTTAAAATTAAATTTCTACAAGCGAAAACATACCATGCTACTTTCCCTGGGCAAACCCTGCAAATAATAATAATAATCCAGCCTCTCTGTCAGTAATGGGTTCCAGAGCCCAAGCTGTGTGTAGAGCACAACTGTAGTTAGTATTACTCAACTCCCCACAAGCTCCAGCTTCTTACCCACCAGAGAGGTGATATTCTACATCCAGTCTCTTTCATAAGACAGTTCAGTGAAAAAGCTGCACAGATCAGTCTGTCTTTATCCTCCTTCTGGCCATTCATTAGTCACAGAGCCAGACAATTCCCGCTCAGATGGGAACTTTCAGAAATCAACAAGAACTACAAAGTTGCTGCGTGTCATCATTGATATTCCCTCTGTAATAAATCTGCTTGTTGTTGTTTGATCCAGTTAGTGGACGGTCTCACACTTGTGCCATCACTTCTTCACATTACTGAGTAGCTGCACCATGGCTTTTTTATCACATGGCTCCAGAGGGGTGCACCGGTTTCCCTATATGGACCAGTTGCATGTTTATTTATATGCCTTTTGACATATAACAAAATACACTTTTTAAAAAAGCAAAAATAATTGCTGCTTTTTTTTGACACTATTTACAATTTCTTCTTAGTCATCAACCTTTTCACCACACAATCAAAAATTAATGGAGACTGAATGTAGATGAAGCAAAAAAATAGCTTAAAAGAGCCCCATGGTTATTGCTTCTTTGGCTCTTTTTAGAAAGCAAACAATAATAATAGCAGCCATGTGCAAATAAAGCTGCTTTTTCATTATTTCTAAAATGTTCTGTTTCTAAAGTCACAAAAGCTTAGTTTGTTTGTATAAATGCCTACTTTAGAAAAAGTTTCTATAACTCACTGTTTCTCAAAAAAAAAAGGGAATTTACATTTGAATGTCAGATGCAAACACAGCAGAAACTGCTTTGCAAACAATTCACGTTGGTGTAGATTGGGCCTGAAAATTTGTTAAAGTTTAAAAAATATATATATTTATTTAATGACAATCCATCATTCAGTTTTTCACAATCCAAAAGACTATTTTAGATATTTAGAAAAGCTCTTTTTTACTGTTTAAACTCAATATTTCACATATTTAAAACATATCTCTTCCTGGAATACAAAGTATTTTACAAGAACTCTAGAGTTGAAAACTGCAAAAACATGAACAAGAAAAAAATATGTTTGTCATAAATAAAACACTTAAGATAATAGCAAGTGGATTGCAACGTAGAGAAAGACATTCTGTGGTGCTGAAATTGTAATTTTGTCTAAGAGTTTGTGAATTATAGATATCTGCATTGAAGAGCCAGTCTAAGTATTATATGATAAATCGGTTTACTATACAAGGTCCTAGTCGAGCGTCTTCCTGAAACTACGCATTCACCTCAGCACCTGCCACACTGGGAGCTCTGGGCTGCAGCTGACACCTCATCCTCTGCATTTATGAAAAGCATTTGTAAACATTATCAGTGGCTGCAGACAAAACGCTGCTGGTGAGAGGATCCCGGGGTGCTGTCAACAACAACTGGCTATGCCTAGACAGAGTATTATGACTGACTGAATTTAGAATATAATTTAGTCAGTGACAGAAAACACAGGTCGTATAAATTTGTAATATCACATAGGACTAATTAAATAAATCCTATATAACCACATAGCCAGTGTTTGCTGTTTTCCTACAAGTCATCATATATATATTGCAAAAAGGCCAGTCAAAAAGTGCCAGTTCATTTCTGATGGAGTGAGATTCAGTGGATAATTATTAGCAATTAATATCCTACCTGTTGTAGATAGTTTTATGGACAGCTTCAATTTAGAGAAACAGAGTTAAATTATGATCAAAATGAAGAGCTAGACCATGGATTGCTTTCATCTTAAAACAACTTGAATATTTATTTATTTTGTAATCATTGCAGTATGCGTGAATGCAAGTTTAATCCCCTTTTCATCTGTCTGGTCATTTATATTATTTATTTATTTATCAATTTACTCACACCTAGTGACAATTTAGACTTACCATTGACCTTGCTGAGAGGTGACAGCTTTAACCACTGTCCCTCTGTGCCACCATTAGAACAATCATGTAGTTTAAAATTGACTTCTAATTTACAAACATATACACTGCTGCCAGTTTTGTGGTTATTTTGAAAGAAATATCTTATTCCAATGGGAAGTGCACCATAAACTGCTTTTTATTTATTTATTGGAGCTGTTTCCAGATGACAGCTGAGTGGTCACGACAGAACAAAACTAAAATTAAAACAAAACAAAAAAATTCTTCTCTTTCATGACTAACAAAAACAAGAGAAAAGGATCCTAAAATAAAAGGCAACCCACACCTCCACACGAACTAAAATCTTTATGCAGCACTATCTTATTGCCCTGCTCAGACTAGCCATTAGCTCATCAATCTGGGCAGAATTAAGCTTTGTTTCTCCAAACCACAGCCAATCAAAGAGCTATCAAGAGCAGGTAAGATATTCATTATCCATAATCTCCCATAAAACTCCTTTTTAAAAGATATGAACCACTGCTTTAATAGCTCTAACATAGTGGTTTATTTAAAACTATATAGTATATGTTACTATTGATATAAATGAATTAAAAAATCACAACAACGGATTTTATTATTGTGTTTATTGAACAAATAAGGCATCAAAACAGCAGTATATCATTTATTGTCATTGCACGTATTTTGTTTCTGCAACATTTTGTTATCAGTCCTTGTATAGTGGCTAATAAAACTAGTGTATCTCTCTCACATTTTCGCTGACAAATTCAAAATATTTCATAATAATCGGAAATCCATGAAAAGATGTTTTCTGTGAACAGAGACGTTCGGACAGGAGACTTTACCAAACATCTAGAGTAGGTCATCTGAATGTTCCTACTGTAAAATGAAATTTAAAACAGCTACAAAATTTCAGTTGAAAACTGTGTGTGGGATAGTTCCAGCCAAATTGGAGTACTTTTGTGTGGCTCTGTGCATTTTGACATACGGAAAATAAGAACGCTCTCACACATATGATAGACAAACCCCCATGAAATATTCAAGTCTGTTTTTAACAAATATTAAGATGGATTGCAAATTCACATCTTTTTGTCCATTAAGAAAAAGCTGAAGAAAAAAAAAAAGTAAGATAAAACTTTGAGGTTTAGTGAGCAACTTGGAAAAAACGGTGCCATTTCTGTCCCTTGAAAGAGAAACTAAAGAATAAACATCGTTTTCAGGCCTTTCTCTGGGTAATCTAACATTCTGATAATCCCTGTATTCATCACAGGAGCTTAGGCTGAAAAAGTAACGTTATGTCGCCTCTGTGCAGGTTTTAATGTGAGGATTAAGAAGAGATTAACAAGATCGTCTTAACTCTATTAAGAACTAACCCGCATCAATCACTGCAGAGGTTTCAGCTACAGACTCACTGGAAATACGTGCGGTCATTTTCAAACACAAATAATGTCTTTACGTGCTTCCCAGAGAAAAATCTACATCTTCACTGCTAATTTTATTGTCAGTTTAATGGCGATAAACATTAGGGAAGTATCAAAAGTCCCATCGTCAGAGATTAAATGTCTCCGTGAGACGAGTTAAAAACAGTGAAGTGATCGTCTCTGTAGAGAAACTGTGACAGAAAAAAAGAAATGTGTTAGATG